TGCAAAAAACACCGAGTGGGTGCGCATCCATTTTGGGAGATTCAGCGTATACGCTAGGCCCCGCTTTGCCACAACCTTAAACGGTCCGATGAACCGTGAACGAAGCTTCGTCCTGAAGATAGCAGAGGCTGCATGTTTTAGGCAGGTTTTTGAGATTAAGTAAAACCAGGTCCCCGACCTTGAAACTTTCCACCTTGCCTCTTCCTTTTCATCTGCATACTCTTTCTGCAGGTCTTGCTTATTAGCCATCGCATCGCAAACGTATCGTAGGACACTCAATCTGGTAGACAAGAAGTCATTGACTTCTTTGCGGATGGTGAGGGGGCTGACATCGGCTAGCCGTTCGGCTATTCCTCCCTCACCAAGCCCTGAGCCATGGGATGGCGACGTCAGCGGGATGCAAGGGTGAATCAGGGGAATATCTCGGACAGGATATTGAACTGCGCTTTCGCTTCCATAGCAGCTTAACATGCAGCCACATACTCAGTCTCAGCCGTGGATGAAGCCACAATCGACTGACGCTTGGACATCCATGTCACCGCTCCACTCACCAGCATAAAGACGAACCCGCTCGTGCTCTTCCTGGCCTCGGGGTCACTTCCCCAATCACGATCACAGAATGTTCTCAGGTTCAGCTCCGTACGGACCCCAGATCCCTTCTTGTACATAATAGCGTGCGCTTGAGTGTCCACAAGGTATCGTAAGACGTGCTTGAGCGTTGCCACATGCTTCACAGTCGGGTTCACAACGAATCTACACCACTAGCCGGGTGCAGATGCCAGATTCGGCCTGGGATCGGATGCGAGATACATGAGCATGTCCAGTGCTTCCCGGTAGTCAAAGGTGGAGTCGAGGCTTTCGTTCTCTGTAGCAGGTGCGAGTCTCGTGGTGGACTCCATGGGGTTCCCACACTTGTTCGCTCCGCGCTTGTACAACACGTCATTTGCATATTATTCTTGGCTGATGAACACGCCCTCCTCGATTTGGGTCACTTCGAAACCGAGAAACTCAGGCAACCTTCCGTGGTCCTTCAGACCATACGCCTTATCGAGCTCAGCAGACAACCCGATCTTGCACTCCTCATCATTCGTGGCACAAATCACGTCGTCCACGTAGGTCAATAGCAACACAACCTTCTCCCCGTCGATCAAGTAGTTGAGACAGGGCTCCGTAGCACACCGTTCAAATCCGCGGTTCAAAATCCACCCATTGATTTCCGAGTTCCATTCACGGCCGGATTGGCGCAAGCCATACAGCGCCTTCCGCACCACGT